CTTAACGAACGATTCTCGGGCATCGATATTCTGCTATGAAGACTATATATCAGACAGATATAAGTTTTATAGAAGACGCTGTTTGATGAATACAAAACGCAATTCGAAGAAAGGAAATAGAGGAAATAGCATCTTAGACGCGATTCTACTTGTTTATTGAACGATGATCATGTATCCCTACGAAACAGTCGTCAAACATCCACAAAAAGGCGAAGCCGTAGAATATTGGATATGATGTTTCAAAGCTTTCGTTCTCATTTTTTTGTGGAATGCATTTCAATATCCTTAGTCTAACTTAATAATGGTAATAAAGAAATTACACTTTTAATTCAAGTTTTTATGCTTCATTTTTTTTTCATTTTTGTCCGGTCAAAACAAGAASATGTCCAGTCAAAATTGTATTTGAACGGTCATCATGTCCGGTCACTGACCGACCGTTATTTTGAGCCCTCATATAAATATGCTTGCTTGAACTAAGTTTGATTCGGATTGTGTGAAATTTTGCATGTTTAGGTTATAGAATGAGAAGAATTTTTTGTATAATAATTAAATAGATGCATATTAAATTAATTACAAAATTTTTGATATATAACACGTGCTCTGATTGGCTGATGACATAGTTTATAACAATGGACAAAGACAAAGACCGGCAAAATTTGTTTTYCGCTCGWAAAAAAGGAGAARAATAGCTATATATTTATTTAAGAACTATAAAATGGCCGCTTGCGTCTCTGTCCTCTGCATATAAACACGGTGGGAGTTGAAAAGGACTCAAGAAGCAAGAGAAACACTCAATATGCTTGTGTTCCTAAGCTTGCTCCTCTCGTGTTTTTCAACTCCAACCGTGTTTATACAAGAGGACAGAGACGCACACCGTTTTATATTTCTTATATAAATATATAAATAAAGAGATATTTCGAAAATCTATATTCTTGAGATACGTTTTTTTTTTTTTGTTGATGCCAATAACTGTAAGGATAAATACAGAATATTAAATAAACCAAGAGAAGTTGGTTTTTGAATATTTCAGAGAAATGATCAGGGAAAGCCCTGGGAGGSGGTACTCCCTATATTCGCTATACGGGGACATGTCTCCAACCAGGGTACCAGGGTATCGTTTCAGAAATTTACTCTGGAACAGGGTATTGATTTCAAGGAATTTTCTCTGGAACAGAGTCAGGGTTTAATTCCAGAATTATCGATGCTGCATAAAAATTTACAGGGATAAAAACTTGGTCTACAYGCAGGCTAGTGCTGGATTTTACTCTGGAGCAGGGTATCGTTTTCAGAGATTTCACTCTGGAACAGGGTCAGGGTTTTGAGTTCCCAGCGGCTTTCCCCCCCGGGGGAAAGTTTAAATTAAAAATGAATTATCTTTGATTTAAAAGAATAATTTTCATTTAAAGCAAAATGTAATTGAATTTTTGACATGCAAGAATGCTGCCTCTGATTACTTTAGAACAAAAACCAMGTTCATGTTTGTCTGTCCACCTATAGGCAAGGTGTGGGATAGACATCACTCTCTCGCTTTACAAGCACCTTCCATATCCCAATGTGTTTATTATTTCAGAAGACAGAGACAACATTTGCTGTTTTATACTTCTTTTTCAAGAACACAAGTGGCAAAGGATGTCTGAACTCTGATATAACCATGATCATCAGACAATAACAGAACATGTCTCATCTCACTTAAATATTCAAAAGAGCTACAAACTCTGTAACTACTCTAAACATTTACAACTGTAGTCATTTCAAAATAAAAGGGAAAAACAAAATTGAAAACAACAGCAACAACAAAACAACAACAACAAAAAGAAAAACAAGAAATTAAAAAACAAAAAAATAAAAAAAAATGTTTCAATGTTGGTAATTTATGGTTTTGCTGCTTAGAATTGCTTCTTCAAGCCTCTGTGAGCACTTTATGATTAGGAATAACTGAACAAGGAAAAATTGTTCAAACACAAAAGATTTCCAAAAAACATGGTGCGACTCACAGTACGTTACTGGGTAACACCGGCAAGCACAAAAAGCACAAAGTCAATGTTCATCAAAAATTAAACCCGGAGGCAAGAAAAAAGTTCTTCTGAAAAGCAATACATGATGTGCTGTTGGGGTTTTAGAAATATGAAGTGAATTGTGCTTTGCTTGCTGCGAGGACAATTTTTGGGCGTAAAAACAACATTATTTGAATTTTCAAATGTCTCAGCTGTTTTCATCTATACCAGCGATCACGTACAAATAGAGAATATCATCATCAATTTAAAGTCATTTCATCAAAAATCTAAGACGCAGTAAATAAGAACTCTAGTTTGGTTTAGTGTTGATTGTTCAAAACTATGAAACAACACTATGTCAAATAGGCATTTTCTTGCACGATAGTCATACCGGATGCAACTGGCTTCGCGATCGTCATCGTGGTGAACATTAAGTTTAAGAGACGCTATTATACGAGAAACGACAGTCTTTCTCCATTCCTTCAATCTACTTACCGCATATTTTCAGAGGAGCCTCCAGCTCCAGTAAGATAGGCTGGTTTAGAAAGATTTCTCGAGACTTCAAGCATAACCCTCGTACCTCCGATTCTGCGAGCTGCACACTCTTTCCTGGTCGCCCTCGAGCTGTGAAAATGCATTGATATCTTAAAATAATATCCATCAAATTGTAATGATTAAAAATGCAAAGCTCTAACCTTCCAATAAGCGAGTTATAATACTATCAATGTTCAATTCTCCATCAGCCATTATGGATCTTGTTCCCCAAATCTTCCATCAATAACGACACACAAAACAGGCGAGTGTTTTCTACCAAATTAGGTCATCCACTCCTTTTATGGCTACATTCATACACATGCGCAASTTCAGTTTTTAAATTCAATATGGCGTCCGCATTTTTGACAAGACGTGTTCTGCATTTTTTCAGGATTTTCACAAGTGAAGATATATTAATGAAAAGAAACGTACTAAGGTTTGTTGATAGTGTGGAGATTGATATATTTTAAGATAAAAAGCTTATAATGAGATGGAATACCAYTGACCTTTTAACCTACGACATAAGCTTAACTAGCTTTAGTGCATTGTAGWATTCTTTGTGGGCTATGGAATTAAATATTTGTTCCTATCAAAGGAACCAACTAATTTTAGGTCTCTTAATATTGTTTGCAAATGTTTAATGACCCCAAGAAAAATTGCACCACAATTTAGACCACAATAGACCACAATTATAGTAGAATCAAAATATTATATTTAAGACTATATAACCACAGACCAACATCAGAACTTCCACAGGTAGACCATAATAGTAGAATCCTAATATTTACAATTGGCCTAAACGATCAGGAGACTGGGTATTAGTTATCTAAATTAACCTAATTAACAAAATAATCATATCATTGGAAAGACAAACACAAAATAAACAAGATTCCAAAGTTTGGATGGACACTGTCCATTCAGTGCATACATTTCTTTGTAATTTTTGACAATTYTGAAGGTCCATTTCTTGCACATTATTTAACCAAAAGCAACCAAACTTTGGAATCTTGTTTATTTTGTGTTTGTCTTTCCAATGATATGATTATTTTGTTAATTAGGTTARTTTAGATAACTAGTACCCAGTCTCCTGATCGTTTAGGTAAAGGCCAATTGATGTGATATATAGTAAAACTAGCTGCGTTAACTCAGGGTTCTGCTTGATATCWGCTAGTGAATCATTCTTACATTTACATTTAAATTTCATATCTATAAGATTTGTCTAGATACTTTTGTTGTTTCTTTGATAAGTTTGCTGGTCTTGYCAGTAATTAAATTTAAGCTTAAAAAATCTGTGAATACTGTGACTGATTTGATAATAAACACTTATAACTTCCTACTTTTGCTTACTTAGAAATTGTGTYGGTATACCATAAACAAACCTTTTAAGTTTTTTTTTGTTATTTAAAAATAACAAGATTGTATATTATCAGCAAAGTCAAACAAAGTCAAGCTTCAACAGTCAAACAAATAGTTAATAATAAGATATCCCTATTATTATACCAAAATCACTAGCGATGAAGTGACAACAGTATGAGTGTAGTTGTGGAAGAATTGGACTGTATTAATATTATGAAAGAATTGATCATCATAATCAAGCTGGTTTAGTCATATGGCATGAGTCTGTAAACACAGAGTCTTTTATCTTCTCCGCTTTATAAAATACTTTTTCTTAGTAGAACTGTGTTTGCATTCTTAGATGAGTCCTTTCTAATTTCAGAGCCTGCATAAGCTAGTATAGTTTGCTTTTGATAAGATAGGTAGCTTGTTTCTTAGACAATTCTCGATCAGACTCGATCAACATGAAGATAAATTTCACAATATATGTTTCACAATAAACATGCTGTATCTCTCCAAATGCCCTTTTGAAAAACGCTTGGCATRTTTAAGTGTGGTTATACTGTGAATGTGTGGATTTGTAAGTGATTTGAGCGTATATTTGTAGATGTTGAATCCACGTCTTCTTCCATCATGCATTACAGCTCGCCAACAATTGCTGAGCTTGGGCTACCAATGGGCAATTTTGTGACTGAAATACGATGATGAAAAAGACAGCTGAAACTTAAACTCAGGATTCCTTTGGAACCCCAAATAATAATGCAGGCCCTACCAACATAAAGAAACGAAAAAGACGGATATTAAAAAACTATTTTTCCTCGTTCTTTAAAAGAARGCCCTACAACATAAGGAAACAAAACTCAAAAGGATAATATAAAGACAATTCATCAAAATCTATCCCACGAAAAAAAAAAAATAGAATATGCAAAATTTGGTTAAAATGTATGGAGAATTTCAGACGGTGGGCCCTTTTGAATTGAATGTTTTGTTGATTAGAGTCAAAGCAATGTACCAATATTTCCATGCACATCAAACATGATTTTCACAGCCGTGACAGTGTTAAGTGACACAATAATATTCTAAGCAACAAAGTTTAAAGTTCTTTTAGTTTCTGTATCTTCATAAAATGTCTGTTRCATTATCTGTAATGTTTTTATTCTGTTGAACATAACTTGCATTTGATAGGTAGAGAGAGAGCGATCCAGAAAGCAATCCTTGATGTCATTGGTAATTTGATTTGACTATTTTTCCAAGAGGATGCAAGCAGTTGGTCTGGATGTTTTTTTTTCCAGAGCTGTATGCATCCCTAAGCCCACAACATTGTTTTTCAAATGATTTCTTTAGAGCACACAAGAGACCAAAACCTGATCATAAGATTAGTTCAGTTCTTATGAAAGAAAAAGAAATTTAATTAACAGGCACACTTTGATTTTAGAGCAATGAATTGTAAGTGTCATGATGTCATTTTTATATCTTTGCTAATTGGAATTCATCTTTCACAGATGTTTCAGTTCTGTTGGGAATACATCTTATTCTTCAGAAGAAAAAACTAAGTTAGTGATTCATGCTGATGATGGTACTTGGGCAGCAAAAGGTATTAACAAAACTAATTTACAAGACTAGAAAAAAGACTAATGCAAAAAATAGAGTGAACACACTTAATCTGTGAAAATAACATTTTACGGAATGGTATTCATAGAGAACAATGGTGATTCAAATGATGTTTTGCTTCAGTTGAAGGTTTAGTGCAAATTTGTGCAAGTTTGATTATGTGCAATTTCACAAATTACCTTATAAATAACATGATATAAAAAACAATATGTTACTATTGATTTAAAAAAAAATTATATAAGCAAACAAAGAAAAAAACTGATTAAGACTATGTATATCTCGCTTAAAATATTATTATTATGTACAAGGATGAAAATATATTAGATAGTGTTATGAAATTAAAAACGTTTTTAATTTCATAACACTATCTAATATATTTTCATCCTTGTACATAATAATAAAAAAAACTATGTATATATTATATAAACAGGTATTCATAACTTTACTGTAAGAGTTCAAGAGTTAAGATAAAGGAAACAATTATGAAACTAATSCTTGCCATTGAAACATCACAGTTCACCCTGAAATAGCAGAAATTTTGGARAAATCTCGACCTAAGTTGGTTGGCAACAACTGGCATAAGCCAAAACTTAGTGCAAGACGAGTAGCAGAACTGAGAAAGAAGTATGTTGCAAAAGGGTACTACTGGCCACTTAAGCCTCTTGTTGACAGAAAATTAGACAAAACTCCAAAAGGACACAGATATGAAAGAGAAAAAGAAACAAAGTATGTATTTCAAGAGCTAGATAAAAACAACTAAAATCTATTTATCTAATCACATTGAAAAAAGTCTAATTGCTGATATTCACTGCTGCATGAATTAACAATGGATGTTATTCAGATTCTTTCTTCTTCATTATAGTTT